TCAAACAAAAAAAAATCACATAGTACATTATAAATACATTAGAAACAATAGCAAGAAGAAAACACTTGTGTTGCTATCTTGTGATTCATTACACTTAGCATAGTCTTATATGGTCATGTGTACATGGCTCTTGACCTTTTCTGCTTATCCCAGACATATACAAGTTATTGCAAACAAGGGAATCTATGGAAGCTACGTTTCTTTGGGCCTGGCTTACTTCACTTAATATAATTTTTTCCAAGTCTTTCCATTTCCTAACAAATGGGGTGATGTCATTCTTTCTGATGGAGGCATAGAATTCCACTGTGTGTGTGTGTGTGTGTGTGTGTGTGTGTGTGTGTGTGTATTACATTTTCTTTATTCATCTACTGAGGGGCATCTGGGTTGGTTTCATATCTTAGCTATGGTAAATAATGCTACAATAAACATAGTTGTGCTGGTATCTTTAGTGTGGTCTTGTTAGTGATCTTGTAAATGCCCAAAAGTAGGATTGCTGGGTTATAGGGGAGCTCTATGTGGAGTCTTTTGAGGAACCTCCATACTGCTTCCCAAGGTGGTTGAACAAGATTACACTTCCATCAATAATGCAGTTGGGTTCCCTTCTGTCCACATCCCCTCCAGCATCTGTTGTTGTTAGAGTTCTCGATTATAGCCATTCTATCTGGGGTAAGGTGGAATCTCAATGTTGTTTTGATTTGCATTCCTTTTTTTATTGTGAAAATAAAATACAGAGGAGTTACAATTAAATGGGCAAGATGATGAGTACATTTCTTATCAAACATTGTTGCCTCCTCCTTTGCTTCCCCTTCCTATCTCTTCTCACCTACCCCCCCATACACCTGCCCACACCCCACCAAAGTTCTAAAGTTTGTGTTTCGACATAACGACTTGTACATCTAATTGTTGCAATAGGCCCACCTGTATCCCTATTTAAAGGATTTGTTTTTTCCCTTCCCTTCCACAAATTATACCAACATCAAATACAGTGAAAGCAGAGCTTTTACTTTGGGAGTGGGACATACAAAGCAACAAGGAAATCATCTTATAAATATGTTAGAAACAATCGCATGAAAGAAAAAACATTTGAATACTTATCTTGGGGTTCATTTCACCTAACATCAACTTATCTATGGCTAGAGAAGTTGAGCATATCTTCATGTGTCTACTGGCCATTCTTATTTCCTCTTCAGAGAAGTTTCTCATGGCATGATCCTATAAATCTCAAGCTCCCAACCAAGTGCCCTATGGCACCTCTTTCCAGGCCATCCTTGGTTTTATGGTGTCTGCTGAGAAGTCAGAGGTAATTCTGATTGGGTTACATTTATATGTGATTGTTCTCTTCTCCCTGGCAGCTTTAAGAATTCTTTCTTTAGTGTCTATTGAGCTGGTATGGAATATAATGGTGGGATGACCTGTTCTGGTCTGATGTCTTTGGGGTAATTTGTGGAGGGGAAGGGAAAAAACAAATCGTTTAAATAGGGATACAGGTGGATCCAATGCAGCAATGAGAAATAAAAGTAGTTATATCAAAAAATGAACTTTACAGCTTTGGCCGGGGGGTGGGAGATGGGAAGGAGAAACAAAGTAGGAGGCAACATGCTTGATAAGAAATGTACTCATTATCTTGCCCCTGTAATTGTAACCCCTCTGTATGGTATTTTCACAATTCAAAAAAGAAAAAAATCAGTATTATAACAAAAAAGCATTTACTATCTTCATGTATAAACAAAACTACTGTTATTGGGTGGCTTTCAAAGCATGTTTAAGAAATAGAATATCTGTCCTCCAAAAAAAAATGCTTCTTGTATCTGGAGGGCCTGTCCTTTTGTATATTTGGAAGGTTAGGTTTGGACAGATATGAATTTAAGTTCAGAAGAGAACTAGGGCATGAGGTTAAGAACATCTTAGGGGAGGGGTATATGTAGTATGAGGAGAATAAAGACCTTGTTACTGAGTGTAAGAGGTGGAAATTAATTCGAAGAAAGGTTACATAGGGAGTAGCTTAGAGATCTAGATGAAGATAAGAAAAAGAAGCTATAGATAAGTGTATTTTGGAGACTTGTTGATATTAGAAAAGATTATTCAGATATTATTGGAAAGTCACTTAATCTGTTAACTCCTGACATTATTGTTTACATACATAGAAGGAGGCTTTACTTTGTGTATAGAACTAGACAGGGCAGCTCTGACGGAGTAGTAGTATGATGTGGAGAGAATGGAGAAGGGGAAAGTGAGAGGAAAAGAAAGAAAAAAGCTTACAAATTAGGAAATTGGAAAGTGGAAGAAAAAAACAATAATACTCTACTTGATTTTGGTACGCTGTATCTTGTATGTACATTTATCTAACCTGAGGAAGGGAAGGGGAATAACCAAACATAGGATGACCCATTGGAACAAGGATACCCACAGGACAGTATATTGGAAATGAACTTTACAACTCTGGGCAGGGGTTGGGTAAGAGAGGTGGGTAGGAGTGTGGGAGGTGGAGAGGGAAGGGACAGTGGAACAACAACAAGGCACGTGGTAACAGTGATCGACAAGTAATGTACTCATTGCCTTACTCATGCAGCTGCAACCCCTCTGTGAAGCCTCATTACACAAAATAAACTATTTTTAAAAATTTAAAGAGAAACTTCGCTGAAGTAGAAATAAGAACGTCACATAGACACATGAAGAAATGTTTAACTTCTCTGGCCATAAAAGAAATGCATATCAAAGCACCGTTGAGATACCACCTCACCCCAGGTAGAATGGCTATAATCAAGAAATCTAATCACAACAGATGCTGGAGGAGATGTGGCCAAAATGGAACCCTACTGCATTGTTGGTGGGAGTGTGACATTGTCCAACCACTCTGGAAAGGAGTATGGAGGTTCCTCAAAAGACTCTGTATAGAGATCCCCTATGACCCAGCAATGCCACTTTTGGACCTTTACCCAAAAGATCACAAACAAGGCTATACTAAAGCAACTAGCACAACTATGTTTATTGTAGCATTATTCACCACAGCTAAGATATGGAACTGATCCAGATGCCCTTCAGTAGATGAATGGATCAAGAAAATGTGATATATATATATATCATATATATATATATATATGATATATATATATGATATATATATATATAATGGAATTCTATGGTTCCATCAGAAAGAATGACAACACCCTAATTGTTAGGAAATGGAAAGACTTGGAAAAATATTAAGTGAAGTAAGCCAGCCCCAAAGAAATATAGGTGATATGGTTTCCCTTATTTGCAATGAGTAGTACACGTCTAGGATAAATTATATCAGATGAGCAGAAAAAGTTCAAAAGCTATGTACATATGGCCACATAAGGTGATGCTAAGTGAAATGAACCCCAAGACGTAGACACAAGAGTTCTTTCCTTGTTGATGTTTTTAATGTACGATGTGATTTTTTTTTGTTTCCTTCATATGTTCTTCCTCCTATGATATATCCTCGGTTGTCACCGTACTTGATTTTGCTAAACTGCATCTTGTATATACATTTGTCTAACTTGGGGAGAAGAAGGGGAATAACAAAAGGGGAAACAAGGACACAGGATGGCTCCTTGCAACAACGAAACTCACAAGACAGTATATTAGAAATGAACTTTATGACTTTGGGTGGGGTTGGGGGGAGAGTAAAGCAGGTAGGGGAGGGAAGGGATAGTGGGAGGACAACAAGGGAAAGGGTAGCAATGTGTGACAAGGTATGCACTCATTCTGTTAGTCATGCAACTGTAACCCCTCTGTACAGAATCTTCACAATTTACAACAAAAAAAGAAAGGACAGGGCTATAGTATGATGTCTAAAACCAAACCAAGCAAATGTAAAGTCCTGTTAACCAAAAACTGCAGAGGTGTTTAAATAAATGTTAGTGTGTAGAATGGATTGTCTAAGCAATGTAAAGTCCAGAAATTCATAATAAAGAAAAATATGTGTGATGAAACTCACAATTACTATTTATTTGAAAGCTGATTAATGTGATTGGAGATTAGAAGCTACAAGGGCAGGGGAGGAGGTTGATTGAATCAAATCAAATGAAAGGAAGTTCAGGTCCAGTCCTGAAGAACAAATGTTTTTTTTTTTTGTTTTGTTTTGTTTTTGGAGAAAAGCCAGCATAAAGCACTTTTATTGTAATAATAAAACTCATGTGAGTTGCAGGGTGGGTAAGTGGAACAAGGCGACAATTTCTCTCACCAAATCACTACACCAGACAGCAAAGGGTGAGAGGGGCCAGGGAAGGGAAAGTTGGGAAACTGCTATCAGCCAAGAGCTGAGCGTCAAAACCCAGGAGATGCTGCAGCTGGGATGACCAGCATCATTTTCTCAGAGCACAGTCAAGGATTTGTCATGATTGCTGGGCTTTCATTGGGTGGTAAGTCTACAAACAGCACCTTCGATTGAAACTTTCAATTAAAGTTCTTAGAATTGAGGAAGTGGAGCTTGATAGTTTTGAGATTGCAAAAGTCTTGAAAATTCATTAGAAAAACCACAGGATGAAAAAAAGAAAAGAAAAGAAGTCAGTCACGAAGGCTTCAGAGATCCCTGCCGGCCTAGGGACGGATACCTGTAGTGTCCAACATCGCAGTGAGCGACCTGCTTTGAAAGACAGGTTTCCGAGGTGGCAGAGGGACTCACAGAGGCTCCTCCCACCCACCCCTTCCATTTTGGGCAGGGTTATCAATTGAACAGAAGGATCTGGCACACTGGAGAACAGTTCAGCCCTCCACAGCATCTCCAATCTGCTATGGCTTTGCAGCGCAGCAGCAAGAATGATTCAATAGATAATAGATAAAAATTCCATCCAAAAAAATTGAAATAAAAGATTCTTGCAACCCCCACCCCAACACCAATTCCTAAAGTTAACCCGTCACTTGTGCTGTTAATACTTGGCAAGATGCTTAATTGGAACCTAGATCCAAGAGACTGAAACTGAATCTTCACCCCAAAAATGAAAACAAAATACGAGGTTCAGGTAAACACACATACGAGGAGGAAGAGGAGGAAGAAAAGGTTGCAGAAGCAAAGCCGAGTAACAGAACACGTTCAGTCGGGGCAGATGTTTATAGGGTGGAGTGGGGGGTCAGGAAGAGCTCCGTATGGACTCGTGTGCAGTGTCTGGAGGCACCAGATCCTTCCATGGCAGATCCACAAACAGGGAGCTAAGGGAGGAGGCCATTTCTGTCATTCCAGTCCTAGAAGCTCCACATCAAAGACCAGAGTGGCGTTTGGTGGGATGATGCCAGGGTGACCGGTGACCTCATAAGCATAGTCTGGAGAGAGAGTCAGTTTGGCTCTCTGACCCACACTCATCTGGGCCACCCCTTCTTCCCAGCCTCCTATCACTTTCCGCTTGCCTAGCACACACTTAAAAGGGCTTGTTTCAAATTTCTTTTCATCTTCCAGCTTCCAGGTGTAGTGCACCACGAAGATCCTGCGGCGTCCGTCTCCGGGGGAGATGGTCACGAACTGCACTCCCGTGGCGGCAGCGACGGTGGTGGATGCAGTGCGGGAATGGAGACAGGGTAAATAAGAAGACCAGCAGCAAACCGGGCTGCTACTGGGCCAGTCTGCCTCCTCCCTCTGCACGTCGCCTGCGCACGCGCCTGAAGAACAAATCTTGATGATGAAAATGTTTTCATTTTGGCTCCCACATACTTACCAGGGTCTTGTAAATATCTGTTTAATAAATTCTGAAAATAAAAAAATAATGTGTAGAGGTTGTTAATAAGCATGAAGACTGTGTTCTCAGAATCTTGGAATCTGAATGCAGACTAGCAAATACAAAATGCTACTAAGTTTACAGGAGTAACCTGGAAAGGAAAGCGGAATGAATTCGGCATTGGAAAATGCACCTCAGTGCTGATGAAGTTCCAATTTCCCAAAGTTGTCCTGAATAGCTCACAGAGGAGTCTACCTTCAGAAGCCTCATTATCAAAACATTTGTATTTTCTTAATAATTCCCAGAGATAACAGTGTTTTAAATTAAAAATAAAATATTTGCATGCAACATGGAGAAGTTTTAGCCTTCTAATAATTTCTACCAATGTTCAACTTTGTGAAATGCCATTATTACAACAAGGATACAGTCAAAATTGACAACCAAACAACTTCAACCTTGGAAATTCATATATTAACTTGAATCAGAACAGAAAGAATTAAGGGAGCCATAGGAAGAAGGGAAACATTTACTTCTGCTACACTGTCTTCCCCATAGCATTTCCTGAGGTAAGAAAAACGGGAGAAGATCTAAGTATGAAGACTGACACAAAAAAAGCCTCATGTAAATGAAATCTTGGAAATAAGAAGCAATCACAGGAGAGTAATCTGTGACGGGCTCATCTGAGGAAGATTTGAAATATTCCTGTCAGGTACAGCATCCTCTCTCCTTCAGATAATAACATGTGTCCCACTCAGTATTGGACACACATTATTTTGTTATAAAATCATCTCTGCATTCCCGTTGTTTAGTGACTCACATCTTTGACCTTCCTATAAACATCCATCATTCCCCATTCTTTTTGTCACATTTATTTGTTGAGAGACAAATACATGGAAACCTCCTTCCTTGTTCAATGACATTGACTGTGGAGATAGTACAATATTCAAATCCTCTTATTTTGTCATCCACAGATACTCATGCCCCGAAGGAATACAGGAACGTACAGTCTACAATCTTGGTTGTCAACTTAGAGATTGGAAGAGAACATTGACATATGCCCGTGGTGTAGCAGCACACCTTAGACATCACTGTCTTCACGACCACAGCATCCTGTTATGTACTCAAATCTTCCTCCTTAAATTACAACTATAGATAGAATCTATTCCACCTTAAATCAGGCCAGTAAAAGTTGCTTTACATTTGACATTAGCCAGGTAATATATATATATATTTATCTCAACAGTAATCCTAAGCAGGGCACTGGAGGTTCTTGCTTGCAATTCTAGCTACTCAGGTGGCTGAGATCTGAGATCAAGGGTCAAAATCAGTCCCTGACATGAAAGTCTATGAGACTCTTCTGTCTAATTAGCTACCACAATGGCCAGAGGTGGATCTGTGGCTCAAGTGATTGAGTGCATGATCACAAAAGCTCTGGGACAGCAGTCAGGCCCCCAGTTCAAGCCCCAGGAGTGGCACAAACAATAAAGAAAAACAAAACACACTCAATCCCTCATGTCTGGCCTCACAGCTTTGAACCTTTGGTTAAGGAAGGAGGAATAATAACTATGGATCTGATAACTCCGTGAGAGAGGCTTGCTTCTAGAATTTATAACAATATGTAAGGAAGTGGAGATTATCTAGCTTCAAAGTGAACTAGATTATCAGGAATGCATCTTTCCCTGGGTTTTCTTAGAAGCCTATATAAAATAGAATATGCATATGGAAGCTGTCAGGAAGGAGACTGGGAATGAAATGGCCTTAGAAAGAAGTCGAATGGCAGGACAGGTTTCCAATAACTATGGTGTCTGATGTAGTCTTTGTTGACATTCTTTTAAAGATTAAAAAAAAAGGTAGAAAACATTGGAGATGGAAGATTAACTGTGAGTAGTAATGGTAATTTTGATTCTTGGAAGCAGTGGCCCTGAGAGGTCAGACTGAAGACAAATTCTACCTAAACAAGACAACATTGTCCTCTTATACTTCTTGAGATAAGCCACTGATTATCTTCTAGACATCTTTCCTCCTCTTCATTTGTTTCCCTTTTCCCATTGACCCCAGCTCATCCAGTATGAGTATTAGGTTCTTAAGGTTTCATTTTGCTGAATTTTGTCTTGCGTTTCTAAAGAAATGTACTGTTTGAGATCTCCTGTGAATCTACTACATTTCAGTAGTTGTGTTTGTATATAATTGCATACCATTGAAACCATTTACTTATGACTTTGTAAGCTAAATCTATCTTCCATATGTAGGGGAAAACATGGGTGAAGAGGAAAGGAGGGGGAAATACAGACAAGAGTTGAATCTATATTCTATAAAGTTGAGAAAAGTAAAGGAAAGTGTGGGTAGGGGAAGGCTAGGTGGGAATGTTGAAAGAAGTGACATTGATTAAGATATGTTGTGTTCACTCTTAAATAGCAACTCCTATGTACAGCTAATTAAAGATTATAATGAAATAAAAGGCCTTATAGTAACAATAATTGGTCCTAAACTGTGAGGTTCATACACAGAAAACATCTGCCTGAGCTCAGAAAACAGAATCCAGTGTCATGATAGCTTAAAATTGGAAGGGAGATGGATCTAGGCCTTGAACAAGAGGTCAGGAAGGTACAGCTTCATGAAAACCTCAAAGTCACTGCCTCAGACAGTATTTGCACAGTCTTTTACTTACCAGAAGAAACCAGGATAGCAGCAACATCCAGTATTACAAGGAGTGCCAAGAACTTCCTGGTTCTGAATTGAAACTTTTAATCACAATGAAGATAACTCTGGTACCAGGATAAGACAAGCTACTGGCACCAGGACTCTGAACTTAGATTATATATGTTGAGTGCACCAATCAGGAATTTCCAGGGAAGTATCTGGATGAATAATTCCTGGAGAAGTTAGGTCAGAGTCAACAGAGGAAAGTGGATTAAAACCAGAAGTCCTTTGAAAAGGTCATGAGTTCTCATCCTTTATTCTGATTATGCAGATTTAAATTCAAGGATGTTTGTGTTCCAGGGCAAAACTCCTCCCACCTACCTCTCACTCTGGACTTTTAGCTTCGTTGTTACAATCTCTTTTGTCAAGTTGGTATGTCCAAGAACCAGTCTTGTTGATATATAAACCACTTCTTCTAAAATTTTAAACTTATAGCATTGCCAGTCAACCAGCTTTTTGCTGAGACTATTTGAAGTAGAGTGGCAATCTCAAAAGCCTTTCTAGTCCTGGCTGTACATTGATCAAGCTGTGAATTCACTTCTGGACATGTATGGAGGTTCACCTAGTAGATGGATTTCAGCACTATTGAAAGAAATGGTGGTAAAATGGTGAATATTGAAGTAGTAGTATTCACTAGACACTAAGTTGAAAATGAATTATATAATGTGGGTGAGAATGGGAGGAAAAACTGGGAGAGAGTGAGAGGAAGGTTGACATTGTCAGAAGAAATGTACTCCTTTATCTGCTTATATAATTGCAACCCCTCTGTACATCACCTTTATATGAACAATAAGCATACATGAAGAAAAGGAAAAGCCAAAGGAGAAGGAGAAGAAACAGGGAACACTTGAGCATTATGGCATTTCAGGTGTCTCTACTGTAGGTCTTGGTGCTTCAGTGGCATACATTTGAAATTAATGAAGCTGTTAATGAAAAAAAAAACATGGAAGCAAATCTTAACTTGATATCACATCCCAGTTTTAGAGTCAACCTGGTCCCCCAACTTCAATGCCGAATTTCTCTATGGAAAAGATGGAGTAGTGGGAAAATCTCTACATTCAAATTGTATGTCCTCAGTTCTCGCATTGAGAGACTTAAATGATTTTCATCTTGACAAAAATGATGTCTATTGGGGCTGGGAAGGTGGCTCAATGGTAGAGCGCTTGTCTTGCATGCATGAGGCCCTGGGTTCGATTCCTCAGCACCACATAAGTAAAAAGAAAAAAGCCGGAAGTGGCGCTGTGGTTCAAGTGGTAGAGCGCTAGCCTTGAGCTGAAGAGCTGAGGGACAGTGCCCAGGCCCAGAGTTCAGGCCCCACGACCAGACCCTCCCCCCCAAAAAAATGATGTCTATTGTGCCAAACCCACATTGGAAGGACTCTGTAATCTCCTTGAAATAACACTGAAAATTGTTTTTCCTTTTGTTGACAATTCTCGCTTAAAGCATTTGCCATTATTATTGGTGGGTTAGGTGGAGAAAGTAATGATATTTAGATAGATAGTGGGTTTATCTCACCATCTTCTTTTTTTTTAACTAACAAACTACTAATGAGTATTAATATTTAGCTAGGAACTCGCACCAGCATTGGATTGAGATGCTATATTACAACACAAATCTACCTTAACAATTTAACTGCATCTTTTGCCTGACTGAGCACCATGAAAGTCTGAAAAATTCATAAGAGCCAACACTCAAAATTGTTTCAGCCCCCGTGTTCTGAGGCTCACTTAGGTGCAACTGCATGCTCAGTAACCCAGCTGTTGACTGTCTTGTCTGTCTGAACTCTGGATCTTGTTCTTTGCATCTCCACCTACTGAGCAGATCCAATCAGACCTAACAGTATATTTGAGCAGCTCAGGGTTTGCTTGCACAATGAACATCTTTAAGTGTGTCCTCTTTATTCCCACACTTGCTTTGTAGGCTTAAGGTTTGTATTTATACGTTTCTAAGACTTTGTTCATCTTACATATCTAACTTGTCATGTTTAATTCAGCATGGTTTCTTTCTTCTTACTGGTCCCTGTCAAATGAGAGTTTGTAACATAATAAAGGCATGGCTGAAGGAGGAAAAGTTAAGGGCCAAGTCAACTGTTCATGGTATAATCACTGAAAAGAAGACTTAGGGGCTGGGAAGGTGGCTCAATGGAAGAGTGCTTGCCATGCATGCATGAGGCCCTGGATATGATTTTACAGCACCACATAAGCAGAAAAAGCCAGAAGTGGCACTGTGGCTCAAAAGTCTGAGTGCTAGCCATGAGCTGAAGAGCTCACCTAGGCAAAGAGTTCAGGCCCCATGACCAACAAAGAAAAGAAAATAAAAGCAAAGAAGATTTAACAGGTGATGGAAGGAAGTACTCCTTCTCTAGGCTCTGATGATAACTTTTTGAAGAATACATAAGTTTAATATGCACCTCGGTTCAGGTAAGATTCCTTACACAATTAGAAGTAGAAAGTAGAAACATCATCAGAACCAAACATTTAATAGTTCATGGTGGTAATTGAAAGTCAAGCAGCATTATCAAGATTGCTTTCAACACAGGTAATTTGCTGACCTAAGGACAAAGAGTAAGAGGAGACAAAACTAAATGGACTACTTAAAGATAATAATAAAATAAACTTAACAGCCATCCATCAATCAGTGTGAAATATGCATCAGTTCATTCAGCACCTATTGATGGACAGTGCAATGATAGATATTTGAAGAATGCCAGTGAGCAAAGCACAGAGAAATTCTATGCACAGAGAAACAGAAACTTTCAAAAACATCAGTATACTGAACAGTAAAGCAATACAGGGGAATGCAGGAATTACACATATATTTGAAGTTTAAAGGCCTCCTCAGAAATTATGCAGGAAGATTAAAAGAATGGTATGGTTTGAGGAAGATGATGGGGATGGAGTTTCAGATAAGGTGACCCAAACTGACATTTCTGAAAATGACACCTGAGTAGATAGAAGAAGGAGGTGACACGGTCCCATGTGTTTGTGTGTCCCTTGCATTGCAAGGAAAGGAACCTGGACAACTGTGTGCATGTCCTTGGTCATAGTAGGGTCAAGAGAAATAAATACAAAGGGAAAGGTCTGCATGCTTATTACACTTTACTTCTCAACCCAGCCAGGGCCACAGCATTGATAGTTGGGAATTGTGTACATCGTAAAAACTTCTATTCAGTTATCATCTCACAAAAACAGAGGATGATGTGTCACTTGCTAGTGGCAAAATATAATCCACCAAATGATGTCTGAACTGCTAGTGGCAAAATATAATCCACCAAACACACACAGGAACAGCAAACACTGCCCATGGTCACAAGGTTTGCTTTTGGGTTTAGCCACTGGTGAGGAAACTGTAGATGCCAATTGGCTTTGCAAAGTATTTTTTTGTCC